CTTGTAAAACACTAACAGTGGCGGAAAAAAGATACGCTCAAATCGAAACTCTTGTACGCGATTGTCAGAAATGTATCGAAGAGCGTTGTAACCCGAAGAAAAATTTTTATGCGACGATTTGCCTACCAGACCTTGGCAAAAAATTTCAGCGGATTTGTTTAAACATTTGTGTTGGTATTTAATAGTGGTAAACTATTTTTCGAGATATATTGAAATTGGAAAGCTCGAAAGCTTCACAGAAAATTAAAAGGCATTAAAATAAGCTGCAACGCTTATTATTTTAATCCAATTTTGCTTAAAATAATCCATTTTGGTATTAAAATAAGCAAAATTGGATTAAAAAAATAAGCGTTGCAGTTTATTTTAATGCCTTTTAATTTTCTGTGTTAGATACAAATGCAGTTATCGAGAAGATAGCAGGCATGTTTTCACGTTTTGGAATTTGCGAGGAACTTCGGTCAGATAATGGTCCTTAATTCAGAGACAAATTCGATCAATTTTGCGAAAGAATTCCATTTCCGTCATGTAACGAGTTCTTCTTATTACAGTCAATCAAGCGGTGAGGTTGAAAATGCCGTAAAGGTAGTAAAAAATTTAATTAAAAAAAATTGTCAAAGTCACTTAGAATTCAAAAATGCCTTGTTATCTTATCGAGCAACTCCACTGGTGAACGGTTATTCTCCAGGTGAATTAATGATGAATCGAAAATTGCGAACAACGTTACCGATATTGTTAAGTAAATTAAAAGAAAGGGAAATTAAGTAAGATGCGTATAAAATAATTTATTGTTGAAAGAAAAACAAGCGCAGGATTATAATTAACTACACAGGTCTAGAGATCTTCCAAAGCTTTGTGTAGGTGATAAAGTTTGGATCACAGACATGAGGCAATACGAAGAAATAGTTAAAAAGCTGAAAGAGCATAGATCTTATTTAGTAAAATCCGAGAACTTAGAATACAGACGTAATCGCGGGCATTTAATTCCTGGACCGTTTTCGAAAAAAAAGGATCGCGGTAAAATTCATCCCGACATGTCTGTGATTGAAACTCCTGCGAATGATAAAAATGTAAAAAGCAGCAAATAATTAACAGTACAATCAGGTCGAAGAAAATTGCTAACTCGAGCTAGGAACAAACCGGAATGGTTGAGATTCTAATGTATTTATAATCGAATTTTTTTCAAGTGGTTTGTGAGTGATTTGATTAAAATAATTTTATAAAAAAAAGGTTTTGTATAGAATCAATGTAACTTTTATTGCTAATAATTAAACGGAAGTTTAGCATCAAAAGAAGGGGGATGTGGTGTCAAGGGTTTGAAATAATATTAGATATGGCCACAAGAGGGCTTATAATAATTAGCGTTATGGGGCGACAATCCTTAAGATATGTGCAGTATATAAATTATTTTTATTTGTTTAATCAATTTATTATTTTTAACTTATTATAACTATTACAATGGGTTAGACTAACCCAGTAATAACTGTATTTTGAACTTTAATTAATCAATAAAAACAATTTTATTTTAAATCAATCGGACATTTTCTAAGAAAAGTGATGGTTTTGTCAGATTTGTGATATTTTTTAATTACTAAAGTTACAGTGGAAAATATACACGGTTTTATTAGAAATTACTTACAAACTTCGCCTGGGTTATGCTAATCCAGTCAGCACCCTGAGGGTTATAATGAAAAGGTCTATGTTAAGAAGATAATTTTGTGATATTTTTATATGCGCAAAGAAGGAATATACGTGAAAACAGTTTGTCCTATGCAAGGTGCGTTTTTTGATTTCGGAAGTATCATAAAATAACCTCAAATAAGTAAGTAATAGTATTTTTTTTCTGTATATGTGAATGTAAATATGTTTCTTTAAGTTTAGTTTATATTAAAATTGCTTTCTTAATTTTTTAAACAAATTTTAATTGAATAAGTTATATATTTTCGAAACATTGAACAATATTATTTAATTTTGAGGTTATATTGTTGATAAAACAACGTAGTTCGTTCTTCTTTGAAATTGAATTTATTTTTAGTTTTATAAAAAAAATGTAATTATATTTGACTTTTTAGATTACTCCAGATAATTTAAATAAATGTCCCTCCTCAGAAGAGAAATTTTTAATATTATTAAAAATAGTATTAACGATTAAAATAACATTCTTTTCCAATAATTAATCAACATTTGACTCATGAAAATGCATTTTGCTTATGTACTAAAATAAAGGTTGATTTAAGAAAGTTATTCATTAAATTTCGTCAAAAGTATAAAGAGAGCAAAATAATTTCAGAAAGATTTTTAAAACAAAATAAATCATGGCTGGCAATAGAAGTTAATTTATGTGAAAAACTTAAGGAGATAAAATCCACCGAAAATACGCAACTGTCTTTGATTACAAAAATCCAAGGACGACCATCTATAAGTTTTGAACATTGTAACGAGAGAAGTAAGCGAAGAAGAACACGGAACCTTCGAGAGCAACACAGCATAAATAAACTAGCATAAATTGGAAAATTGGATGCCGCAAAATTAGTCAAAGACATTTCTGAAGGAAGTCCAACAAAAGTCAGGTCAAAACTGTTCAAGCAAAAATTTTTCCATGATATTAATGCTAATAAAACAGACGGGAATATATTTTTTACATCTCTTGTGCCCTTTCAACTTATATCTGACGATCAATCAGGCAAAACAGTAATTCGGAAAAATCCTAGGCCTTCGTCCCCACGATATTGTCGACCAATTAAAATCGAAATTTTACATGAAACTCCTGAATCTACCCAACTTTCAGTTGATAGCATTAAAGAACAAGAGCAAATTAATTAAAGTTGTTGTGAGATCTTCATCTTCAACATTCTACAACCCTTTAAATGTATTTTCACTAATCTTAAAATTATATTTTGAAAACGATTAAAACTGATAAGTTATTTGGTTTTTAATCGCTTTATGAAAAACAACTGTCAGCTGACTGTTGTTGTCATTCACTGATCACATGTAGACAGAATGCGCAGAAACCAAAAGTCCTTTTAATGCAGCATAGGTTTCAATACAGTCCCACCCAAGCGGTCTTACGATGCAACTTCAAGCTCCCTGTCGAGTAATAGCGAAGTTGACACTTCTGTCTCTAGTCTTCTTGGAACTCCTATATTTTTCCCTTATATAAATCCATATAAAATCCTATGTTGATATTTCAGAATCTACATGAAATCCCATATGATTTCTTATGTTTAATTCTATGTGAAATCATATGTAAGAATCCACATGAAATCCCATATGGTTGTCTACATTAATACATTTATGTAAAATTTTATATAAGGAATTCTTTAGGATTTCATATGATATTTTTTGTAAGATTTAATATGGGTAATTATGAAGGAAACGGACATGGGAATTTGATAAAAAAAATGTAAGAAATTATATAAGAATCCACATGAATTCCTATGTAGAAACACAAATGCAAATTCCCACATGAATTCTTACTCAAAATCGTGTCCCAATTTTACATACGGTTTTTTATGGATTTCCATATAGTTTCCTATAATCAACGTGGGATTTCAGGTGGGGTTTTTAATAGGATTCCATATAGGATCCCATGTAAGATCTTATATAGGAATTTTCAGTAGGGTCAGCCAACCTGAAATCATGTGGCCTAATCAACGACCTGAAATAGTTGAGATGCTAGAAACTCATTCAAACATTATAATGAACAATTTGATTGTCCATAAATGGACCATTTGGAATCGATACTCCTCCTTGACGAAACTGACACGCGTAGTTGCATATTGTTTGCGCTTTTTGCATATTCTATGTAAGAAAATAAAATTAACGGATCCATTGTCTGTGGATCAAATACAAAATTCAATGAAATAAATCATCAAGGTTATACAAAGTAAAGAGTGTCCATCTGAAATACTCAATAACAAGAGCGATTTACCTAAAACATCGAAAATTCTAAGGTTGAATCCTATTATTGAAAATGGATTAATGAGAGTAGAAGGGAGAATAAAGAATTCTGATCTGAATTACAAACACAAGCATCCCATTATCACAAGGAATCATACATGCTTGCATAAAATGTACTCAGGCAAAACCTAAGGAATTATTATATCAGATGGATGATCTTCCCAAGGTCAGAGTCACCGACGCCCTTCCCTTTGAGAATTGTAGGGTAGATTACTGTGGACATTTTTTATAAAGGTCCTATTTTCCAAAAATGTTTGATTTTTTTGTGCAAACTAATGCAGTGATATTTTCACTTCATTTTAAATCTTAGCTAGCTCCATCAGTAAAATTTAACTAATTTTCACAACTAGTCAGTGAACACTGATTATATGACGCAGGCATTGCAGATTAAAGGTATATCCATTAAATCATAACTAAAACTTTAAACGCGTTTTTCTCAAAACTACTTTTTTTTAAATGACCGGAGACATAACTTTCACAAATCTTAACCGATTTTTTAATGATCATTTTTAAAAAACGGTGCAATTGTTCAGAAATTCCAATGATGCAGATTTTAAGAATTATTTTCTAAATAAAATCAGCCATGATTTATTTATTTGTACCAAAGAATACAGCCATTGAAATACCATTATTTAAATCGGTTTATTTTTAAAAAAATTTAAGAAAGGGAAATGATATGATATTAACCCTTAAAGTACACACTTAAAAATTTACGTTTAATACACATATGGCCTTTTACCCCGGGATTCTTTGAAAGTTTATATCTTCAGCTCAAATTGTTGAAATTGAGCCGATAATTTTAATTAGGAAATTTTCTCGGGAATATGAAAAATATAGTTTTATTAATATAAAATTATTTAATTAAAAAAATTAAACAATGATATGTTTTCAAAGAAGGACCACAATTTTAAAAAACACATGGGCAATTTATATTCAGTGTGTAATTTAAGGGTTAAAATTTTGAATTTTTTCGCTTCTTACCAGAAAGGTATGCTTTTATCAAATTTTTTTAATATATTATTTTTTAGTTTTTCTTTACTCACTTCTGTCTTCAAATTTCCTGTAAACATTCTTACAATAGAACGGGATGCAACTATTTGTTGTGGAGTTATGGTAGGTAATTCAATCCATTCATCTAATCCGGGAGAATTGCATACAAAATAAACCTAAGTACAATTTTACTTAAGTGAACAATTTTAAATCTTTAATACGTTGTAGTTATAAATATTTGTTATATTATATGTATAATGTCAAAATTATAATTTTTGTATGTACCATTTTATTGAGACCTGTACCAATTGGTTCTGAAGGAACCTGGACAGGAGATTGCCATACATTTTTTGGAAAATCTGGAAAAAATAACTGCAATCTTTTCTCTGCAGATTTTCCTTCTCGTGGAAGTTCAGTTTGTGAAACTACATCTAAAGCTTTTTTAACAATTGTTTCCTTTAATGTATTAATAGATGTTTCTTTATCTAATAATTCAGTGGCTTTATTAGATACATTATTTTCTTTGTTCTTCAATTTTTCTTCGTCTGCTACAGATTTCTAAAAATAAAAATATTTTATTTTTCAATAATTAAAAATTGTTTTTGAAAACTGAAAAATAATGTTTAATATTTAAAATATTAGTGAAGATAAAGATTTTATAACGGGGGTAAAATTCCTATGGCGAAATAAGTGAAAAAAAAGTTGATCGGATCGGGCTGTAACTTGCACATAGTTTAGCCCTAGGGGTGAGTAATTTAACCACGAAGTATTGTTAGGTTTTTTCAAAAACTGTCGAAGAGGGAGGGGGTTGAATTTTTTTGATAAATTTAAACAGTGAATATTTGAAGACTTGTAACTTTTAAACAGAAAGAAGAAGAAAAATTTGTCGTACGTTTTCGAAAGGTTTTTTCCTGCTCTTTCAAATGGTGTAAAAAAATTTTCAAAAATTTCAAATTTTGATCCTTTCTATTGAAAATTAAACATTTTTTCGAATTTTTTTTTAATTTCCGTACTTTTTATTTATTTTATTTATTTTTTTTTTGATAGCAAAAAATGTGTATTTTCACCACAAAAAATATTGAAATGTCCTTTTTTGTTATTTTCGAGATATTAATTAATTAATTAATTAATGTTAATAAAAAATGAAATATTTCACAAATAAATAAAGTAATTGCAATCCTGAAGGTACCAATTGAAAGCTGAAGTTATGCCGCATCCAACGAGCCCTATATGGACTATTTTGGATTAGAGGATTTCCTATAAACAATTGCCATGTTAGCCAATTGTTTATTAACAATCCACTAACCCAAAGTACTTCATATAGGGCTCGTTAAATGCGGAATTATGTCAACTTTCATTTAGTAACGTCAGAATTACGATACCTTTATTTGTTTGTAAAATATATCATTTTTTATTAACCTTAATAGTTAATTAATTAACTAAAAATTGTAAATATTATGTAAGTAAACAAAAAAAATTTTGACATATATGTTTTCCAAATTTTTTTTGTGCTCTTACGATTGGTGAAAAAATATTTCAAAAAATTCAAAATTTGACTCTTTTTTCTGAAAATCAAAAATTTTTTTGACTTTTTTTTTAAGTTCGGTCTTTTTTTTTAATTTATTTTTATTTTTTTATGAAAGTTAAAAATGTGCATTTTTAACTCAAAAAATATTGAGATGTCCTTTTTTGTTATTTTCGAGATATTAGTTAATTAATTAATTAATGTTAATAAAAAATTTAATATTTTATAAAAGAATAAAGGTATCGTAATTCTGACGTCACTTAATAAAAGTTAAAATAATTCCGCATTCAACGAGCCTTATATGAAGTACTTTAGGTTAATAAACAATTGGCTAACATTAATTAATTAATATCTCAAAAATAACAAAAAAGGACATCTCAATATTTTTTGTGGTGAAAATACACATTTTTTGCTATCAAAAAAAAAAAAATAAAATAAATAAAAAGTACCGAAATTAAAAAAAAATTCGAAAAAATGTTTAATTTTCAATAGAAAGGATCAAAATTTGAATTTTTTGAAAATTTCTTTACACCATTTGAAAGAGCAGGAAAAAACCTTTCGAAAACGTACGACAAATTTATCCTCTTCTTCTTTCTGTTTAAAAGTTACAAGTCTTCAAATATTCACTGTTTAAATTTTTTAAAAAAATTCAACCCCCTCCCTCTTCGACAGTTTTTGAAAAAACCTAACAATACTTCGTGGTTAAATTACTCACCCCTAGGGCTAAACTATGTGCAAGTTACAGCCCGATCCGATCAACTTTTTTTTCACTTAGTTCGCTACAGGAATTTTACCCCCAGTTATAAAATAAGAAAAATAATTACTTTTTGTCTTTTAGTGAGTTCTTCTTCTTTCAAATCTGCTTCAAGAACATAATAATTTTTTGGATTACCCAAAATTTTCCCCCAAAATCTACAATTTTAAAAATATGTTAATTTGTTAGTTAAAATTATCAAACTAAGCACTAACTGAAATACAATTTTATATCAATCTGTATAGCTCAGCACATTAATTGAGGTTACTAAAAGATAACAAAAAATACTAGAAAACAAAATAAATAATTTAATACCAAAAATGTATTCAATTTATATTTTATTCAGGTTAGAGAGTATTTGAACAAATATTATTATATCTGACTTTACAGTATAGTGCATGTAATATAAGACAAATATAATACAGCAAAATAAAAAAATTATAAAGGCAAAAAATAATTGTCATTGTTAATTTATTATTGAAATTAGATAACGGGAGTGAATTTAATAGAAACAACTTACCGGACATTTTCAATTGGAGCCTCAAAAATTAATTTTTGTATACTCAAATTTAATATTGATATTTCAGATCGAGGTAAACCTACATCAGCTTTTTCAATAAAATATAATAGATTCAGTAAATTTTCTCCACTATTTTTAACATTAATTTCTTTCTCTTGTTCTTGATACAATTCTGCTTCTTCTGTTTTCTTTTGAATTTCTGACGTCTATCCAGAAAAAATTAAAAATGTATTTTTCTAAACTACAGCAAGATGCATGAAATAAAAAATGACACATAGAAACTTCAATTGACAAAAAACATCAAATTTTCGTATTTTGATTTATAAATTTTCAATTTCGCCTGTACACACGAAAGTTCATAAAGTTATCATAAAATTTTTGATGACTGAAATTTTAGATTTAAATAAATAAAATAATTATTTTTAATTTTGATTGTCATTTATATCATGTATTATTATAAGTGACTTCATTTTAACAATGTGTTATTTGCAATACTAAAATTAAGAAATTATTTTATTAAATCAATCACTACTTTTTAAATAAGGAAAACAAATTATATAAGTTATAAAAATATTTTGAAACAACACCTTAAAAAGTTTGATTAGTTTTTTTGCATTTTCGTATTGTAATGGAGGAACATAAATATTTCGAAGATGATCAGTTTGAGTTTTAAATCTTTTTTCCTTTAAATTTTTACTATATTCTTCAAAAACATCTAGAGCATTTTCTGGTCTCTCAGAAAGTATTTTATTTATTAATTCACTCAAGTGGTCATATCTAAAAAGTTATTAAAATTTAAATACAATAATTTAAATTATTATTATTATTATTATTATTATTTATAATAAGTAGATTTATAAATTTATATTTTGTTTTGTTATTTTTAATAAACGTAATTAATTAACTTACAAACTGTCACCAGATTCTGGATTGTGTTTCTGTAGATATTCTTTCGCTTTACGTAATTCATGTGAAAGAGAATTGTCTTCTGGTGATGAAATCTCGTCAATATTATACAAACAATTCATATTCAAATTTTTTTTACTATTTTATTCTACTTTATAAAACCATGTGATAACCTTTTGATTTTTATTATCTTTGAAAACAAAAAAGCTGATAGTTAATATGAAACAATTGAAAATCATATAATGGGTAATTTTCAAAATAAATTTTGTAACTCTTGGTATTGTGAAAATGGACATTCAGAAACAATTTTTTGTTTATAATATTTTATTATTATTGATTCATTGGGAAATTAAATCATTCTGAAAATTCACCTATGCAAAAAAATAAAAATTCTGAATTATTTTCAATTACATACTCGCTTCTACCGAGAGTGTAAAGAATATTTCATATTATTTATAATTTTGTTGATTTTATCATTTTAGTTCAAAAAAAAATACTTTTTTAAAATTAAAATTTAATAAAAGAGTTATATGATTAAATAATTAATACGCATCATTTCCATATAATATAACTCATTTCTCAAAAGTGATCCAACTGCGAAAATTTTTTTCTCAAAACGGCCTGTAATTTGAACACGTACTACGAGTGATTTAGTTTAGTATTTAGTACTTCCCCAAAAAACTATTATTAATTTTTATCAAAAAATATAGAAGGGTGAAGAAAATTAAACTTTTTGTCAAATGTGAACAATGAAGTTTTTGATAAATCATAACTATCATATTAAGGAGTGAAAAAAATGTTTACCTATATATGTTTTCGAAAACTTTTTTCCTGTTCTTTCGAACGGTGCAATTTTTTTTAAATAATTCAAAATTTAACCCTTTTTTGAAATTCAAAAATATTTTTGAATTTTTTTTAGAAGGGAATCTTCATTTTCTTTTATTTTCCAATCAAAAATGCGTTACTACGTAATCCGTGAGTTATTGTACGAGATAAGAAAATATCTGCTGTCGGTAAAATTTAAAAAAAATTTAAAATTTTATCGACAGCCGAAATGCAGTTATATTCTTCCTTACCTGTTGTACGTATTCATATAGCATGTTAGTTAGACTTTTTAAAGTGGGAGCTGCTCGTACGCTCTTTGCAGTCCTAAACTAAAATTTGGAGGGTGAAAAGCTTATGAAATAAGGAGAATTTAAGGGTTGATTTAAAAAAATTTGAAAGGGGTAAAAAATAAAAATTTTTTTTTTGCTTTTTTGGGCAAAACTACATTTTTGAAAAAAATCGATATTTTTATTTGAAAGTTCAGGAAATTCTCTATAAAAAAAATTGGTAAAATTTTCAAATCCATTGATTTTTTTTATTTGTATTAGAAAATTAGTTTAAAAAAAATTCAAAATTTTAATTTTTTTGTTAAAAATAAAAATAGCGATCAATTTTATAAATATTGGTAAAATGTAAATTTTATATATATATCAATCGATTTTTTTTGATGCCAGGAATATAACTCTGACAAAATTTATTAAGAATTTTTATGAAGAAAAAAGTTATTTCAAAAAATACGAAAAACGATTTTCTTGAATAATTAAAAAATGATTTAATTTAACAAATAAAAAGAATTAGTATTTACTTAGTATTTTCATCAAGATTGTATGTAAATTGCTCAGAATTCATTTAGATTGCTTAAAAATTATATAAATATTTGATTGTTATTTAAGAAATGCAATGTCAATAAAAACTTATATGTTCCTTAAACTTAAATTCTGATTTAAACTTAATTTTACCAAATTAAATTTTTGTTTTATTAAATTTAAACATTTCAAAGATATTGTTTCCAAGATGCACCACGTAGAGGTAACCAATCATACATCTAACCCACACAGCAACAAAAAATTATCGAATGTTCCATCCCAAAAATACATATTTATATACTCAATAGAATACTATTATTATAAACGACAATATACTGAATTTTCTATGGCTCTTCTATAATATTCGTCGAATTTTTGCTGCTGTATGGGTACAAATCTATAATTTATAATTTCAGATTTGTACAAACAAAATAATTAGGGACGCATAAATTCAATTATTTCCATTATTTACTATTCGATTTTTTTATTCTCAAATTTTTGAATTTTTGAGTCTTTGAATTTGGAATTTTATTATTTTGACGTGAAAATCTTAATCAGAGATCCTAAAAATACCCCTTAATTAAGTTTGAAAGCAATTGGTTACAATAATAGTTCTTTCAATTTTTTAACCCCAAAAACAGTTTTATAGCTATATCTCAGTTTTAGCATGTAATTTTTGTAAAATTATGCTAAAATGTGACTTAATACCCAAGTATAAAAGTTTACAAAACAATCTATTAAGAAATGAATAATTAAAATTTTTTTATTTTTCGAATTTTTAAAAAAGTAGCATATCTTCCATACAAATTAATATTTTTTAATCAGGTATGGTTAAGATTTTAAAGACTGACAAGTTTCACTTCAGTCAGTCAAACAGTTCTTACGTGATGCTGGAATAAAATATTGCTGACATATATACATACATACATACACCAATTTTTTATGAACATTTTTGGACTACTTGTTATTCATAACGACAAACTATGTCAAAATATTTTTATTTTGAGCAATGTACAGGCAAAAGTTTGCGATTTTATTAATATAGATAAATTATTGGTTCAAGTACAGTTTAATTAATTCAAATAAAAATTATTTGGTCCAAGTAAATATTTATTTGGTAATAGGTTTTACAGTTTGGTTTTACAGTTTGGTTTTACAGTTTCCCATATAATTTCGTATATTATAATTTCGCATATTATTTATTATAATTTCAATATAGATGTAGATCATTATAGTTCCACACTTACGCCGTCAGATGGTGATAATATTTTGTCTCTCACAGTTGAGATCAGTCTTGAATACTATTAAAGTTGAGACTCTAACTTAGAAGGTGTATTGCAAATCACAAATTTTTTTCTTTTTAGATGAATTATAATAATATTATTTGATTTTTAATTAAATAATTTTTAATTTTTGAAAACCGCCGTCTGCTTAAAGTATTCAACTGAAAATTCCCATATGTAATCTTATATTGTGTTCTTTAAATCAATGTATCTTCGACAATTATTAATGAATTTGATTCAAATTTGATATGTACATGTATTATTGTCTACTAAGGAGACAAAATAATAAAAAATTATTAATTGTTTAAATTGTTTTTAATAAAAATTGAGACCAGTTGATAATAACGTTTTCTTACTTTCATCGACAAAATGTCTGCGGGGAACTTTGTAGTTCAGAAAACTTCCAGTGAGACATTTGTTTATTTCTATATAAGGAAATTTTCTGTAAAATATTAAATGAATTCATTGAAAACTTTTAAAGTTATTGAAGTTTTAAGAAAGCGCTGTTAGAGCGCTCGCACAAGAAAAGACGGAGCAGTGTGCAGGATGTGTTTCAAATGAGGTAGAAAAGGAAGGAGCGATATTTCTTTTCTTTTCTAACTCATTTTAATCATATCCTGCACACTGCTCCGTCTTTTCTTGTTCGAGCGCTCTTAGCGCGCAAGTAAGTTCAACGCTACTCGCACAGTCAGCTGTTGCGTGCATGAAATATAATTAGTTTTTCACATTGAAATTTAAATATCTACATATATTATTATTATTATTTACTATTCAAAATTAACATTTGTTTACAGTTAATATTGCAATGTTTAATCCAAAATTTCCAATGTTATTTTATTAAAGAGATACATGGAGAGAAATAGATGGTAAGAAATTATGATCTTAAGATGGTATCCGGTACAATCTATATGCTACTCGGTACCATCTAGATGATAAAAAAGTGAGGTTATGTTACCCACTTTACAATCAAGATTATACTCCGTACAATATGTATAGTATCCCGTATAATCTAGATTCCTGTCCGTATATGTAAGATCAAATATGATACCTGATACTATCTAGATAGTACCCCGTACCATCCATTTCTCTCCGTGTATAGGTATAATTTACATATTTTTTGTCATTTTCAATAAATGGTAAAATATATATATATATGTCTCAAATATTACACAAATCATATTTATTTTCTAAAGTTTATAAACCTGGTAAAATCATAAAACCAAAATTTTACAATATTTTATTTTATACTCACCAAATTTGAATATGTCAAAACTCGTCCACGTAAAAAAACAAGTCCATATAAATTTTAAATAAATGAATATACACTTATTTTTTTACATGGGCGATTTTAGAGTTACAATAAGTAAATATTAACCTTTATGGGACTGACGAGGTACCTGGGTACCTTTTGTATTTTCAAATTGGTTTTTTCCGTATTTTTTTTTTTCGTAATTTTCCATATAAAGCGTTTTAATATTATTTATAATGTACCTTTTTTATTTATTTATTCGGAAATAATAAACAAAGTTTTTTCATCCTTAAAAGGCAGACAAGGTACCCGGGTACCTCAGTACATTTTATGCAGATAAATGTAGAACTGTCTATTAAAAAATTATGAAAAATTACATTAAACAATTTTTTTTAATTTTTATAGTAATGCACATAATTTTTTTTATAAAATATGTAAGTTAGTTACTATAGTTAAATAATAATATTCATAAAAAATCGTCAGTTTTTAACTTAAAAATTACCATAAAAATGAAGTTTGAATAGAATTAATTTGTATTAAAAATGAATTTTAAATAATAAAAAATAAATTTCTTACATTTTTATATTTGATTTCATAAATAATCTGCCTAAATATCGATGGCTGGGTGTAAAAACATGATACATCGAATTGGCGTTGAAAAACATGATACGTCGGATTAGCGTTAAAAAACATGATACATCGTCGTTTGATTTGAAGAACATGACACGTCGAAAACGAAATTTTTTTTTCAAATTTCTGTTGGTACCACTGACTGTGAAATTTAAAATGTGTCAAATCTTTGAAACTGTTTTATGAAACAAATGATTTTGCTTCATAATATATCAGTTCAAAGAAAAATTAGGTTAAATAGCTTTTTATAAAGTTTATATTTAGATTCATATAATCTGTGATTTTATAAATAATTCTATTTTATTATAAATATTTATATTGTAAATATTCTATTGCAATTGGTGTTGGTTTAAATATTTGTTTAAAGAGTCAATCATGCATGGAGAGTAAGTAAAGTAT